AGAGAAAGGGGGAAGGGAAATTATTGATGGATACTGGAAATTAAAATGAAAAATGAGAAATGAGAAAATGGAAATGTGTTCTGCTTTTTTCTGGTTTTGTATTCGCGGTTGTTATGGTTTTTGTTCACGCGCTGTGGGTCTGTCACCTAGCTGTTTAATAAAGGGGCCAAATTGGTTTTATCCATTTTGCATACTACTTAAAAAAAATAAAAAATTCTTGTGAATTTTTATACTTCTAAGTTGTACCTAGACCTGGAAAAACTAACCCGAGTAGTACCCTATCCGAAATATTCGATCTATGACTTAGTTAGGGCGCGAAACAACAATATGAACTCGACTCGTAAACAAAAATATAACTCAATCGGAAGTGAATTGACCCGTTAGTTTTTGACCTGGTGCTCGAAGTGAACCGACATGAATTGACCCAAAGAGATCCTGATACTCAAACTAGATCCGAAAGACCTGAACTAAAATACCATATACCCTAATGACTGGTCACTGGACCAATTTCATCCCAAATTAATTGACCAAACTCAAAGCTAACCATTCTAATTCTTTTAAATCTTTAATTTTTTTTACTCCGTAATATGTAAGTGTAATGATTCTCAACTTGACACAAGGTATCAACTTCATCTATACTTGCCTAAAAGTCCTAACCCGGAATGACCCAACCTGACCCGACCCTATATGTACTCGAAGTATAAATTACAAAAAGTTGACATTTGAAATGTGTTTTGAGATTCTTGAGATGATTGTAACAAGTACCAAATGAATATATTTAGGCCCTGTTCTCGTCACTTTATTAAAAAAAATATTTTGTAAAAATAATTTTAGCTCTATAAAAATAAGTTCACTTCATTATAAATTACTCTATTAACTTTGAAAGAAAATATATAATAGAAAATCATTAAAAATAAGTTTGATTAGTAAAAATAATTTTAAGTCACACTACAAAAAAAATAGGCGATTTCTGACGGAACTATTCCGTCAAAAACACCCAGTTTTCCGTCGGAAACCGTAGTTGTAAAAGTATTTATCAGAAAAACGACCTTTCAAATGGAAATTCCGACGGAATTCAAGTGTCGGAAGAGATTTTCCGGCCCGAAAAAGTTCGACATAAAGTATTTCGCCGAAAATTTCTGACGGAAATTCCGTCAAAAAATACTGTAAAAAAAATAGCCCACACCAACCTCCACTGCCAAACCACCACCTCCACCCTTAGCCCTGATTTAAACCCCAATTAACTAACCCACCTTCTACCCCGAAATAAACCCCACCCACCCAAAACCACCACTAACCCACCCTAAACCCTAACAATTTTAAACCCCACCAACCCCAAACTAAACCGACCACCGGTTCCCTACCACCACGACACCACAACAAAAAAAAAAAAAAAAAACAACAACAAAACATCAAAAAATCTGACCACCACAACCCAGATCTATCAACCACTGCCCACCACTACCTCGCCAACCCAACCCCCAAAACCCGAACTCCAACAGCCACCACCCACCACCACCATAAATTTTCAAAAAAAATTTGAAAAAACAACAAACAAAATAAAATTATTTTTTTTAAAAAAAAAAAGAGATACATACCTTAATTTGACCACACAAAACCTCAAAATTGGGTTTTCAAAGCCAAATTCGACCATGAAAACTCCAAATCTAGAGTTAATCTGACCTAAAAACCTTCATTTTCAACATGAGAAGAGAGAGCAAGGGAGAAAAAAGACCTTTGTTTTGCGCCGTAAATGTTGATGTCTGTGTTGGTATTGTTGTTGATGTCGATGTTGGTGTTGTTGTTGCGGCGGTGGTTAGTGTTGGCAGTGGTGGTGGGGTGGTAGTTAGAAAGAGGAGGGAAAGAAGAGGAAGGAAGAAAACAAGCGAGAGAGAAGAAGAAGAAGAAGAAGAAGAAGAAGAAGAAGAAGAAGAAGAAGAAGAAGAAGAAGAAGAAGAAGAAGAAGAAGAAGAAGAAGAAGAAGAAGAGAACGAGAAGAAGAAGAGGAGAGAGAAGGAGAACGAAGAGGATAGAGAACGAGATGATGAAAGAGAAGAAGAAAGACAGAGAGAAGGAGAAGGGGAAAGAGAAAGAGAAGAGGCGGAAAAGAGAAGGGGGAGCTATGTTTTAGGGTTTTCTTTAAAACGTTTTTTTTTTTTTTAATAATATTCTGACGGAAATTTTCGATGGAATAAAACGTCGGAAAGTACATAAATTTCGACGGATTTATATTCCGTCGAAAATTTCCAACGGAATTACTGAATTTGTCGGATATCTGACGGAATAGAAATCTGTCGAAAATTTCAATTTTTCCAACGGTATAACATGCCCGTCGAAACCAGTCCGTCAGAAATAGGCTATTTTCTTGTAGTGTCAATAGAATAATTTAATTTCAACAAAAATAATTTCAATTCAATGTAATTATTTCAATTCAACAAAAATAAGGCGAAGTGATCATGACCTTTATCTTTATACAAACACAAACGAAGGTTAATGTGGCGTGTGGTGTATCTGATTATGTAATTTAAGTGCAAAAATCAAACTTGAGGATTTATTTCAGGCCATAAGAGTAATATAAGTTCAAATTACAACTAACATAAAATTTAACAAACTCAAATAATATAAGTTTAAACCTGTAATTTAGGTGAATAAAACATACCCTAACTATTGGAGAGTGAATAAAACATACCCTACTATTGGAGAATAAAATAAATAAAGTTTAATAGATACATCACACATTAATGATTGTGAAATTGTAAGTAAAATCTAATCTAATATCATATTATATAACTATTATATAAAACTAAACTTTTACCTAGGTCACGAGACAACGACATTTGACATTCCAATTTTTCGCCAAGTGTCCAGCCACATATTAAGCAACAATTAATTATTAATATGACGCGTAGGATTTATTTAAATATATTTTTTGTAGAATAGGATAAAAAAGTTGGGTAGCTTCAGTAGGATAAAAAATTATTTTAGTGTTTTATTTTCAATAAAATTTGGATTATTTAGTAGGATAGAAAAATTATTTTAGAGTTTATTTTCAATAAAATTTTTTGTCTTGAATTTTATTTTCAATAAAATACCAATAATTCTATACAAATGACGGATCCAGAGAGGTACGAAAGGAAAAAATAAAAATCAAAGAGACCTGTTATTATATATAACCGTTCTCTTAAGTCTTAACATGCAACAAGCCTTTCCTTAATTAAACGTTTAGAGAAAATAAAGATCATAGCTTTAGACAACCGTTCTTTTTTGTTGTACATTATTACTTCTAATTTAATTAGATTATCAAGTGAATATTAATCCATAAATTACCCATAAACGGACAAGTATGATTGTCAAGTGATTATTAATCCACGAGTAGAAAATTCAAATAACATATACTTCCTTCGTTCTATTAATATTGCAACAAGGATAAAATTACGCATCCCAAAACACATTTTATATGCTAAATATCTATAGTTGTGTAAGAGTAAAAATTATAAAAAGTATTTTATGAGACGAATCCAACTAAGATCCCACGTGACTATATTTTGCATAACGTATATATCGTATTATATGGTCAAACAAGAGTGATGAATAGTGCAAAAAGTCCATTGTTGCAATATTAATAGAACGGAGGAAGTATATTTTAGATAAAAAGTTTTATTTTAAAATTCAATAAACAACCCAAGCATCGCACGGGCACAAAACTAGTATATATAAATAAAGGAGACATTTTTTAGGAGCATTCGGCGCGCCACATGAGCAAGAAACTTATTTCAACCAATAAAAAAACATATAAAATGAGATTTGTATTTTATTCTAGAATTAAAAATTTCAATCGCCTCATAAGCAAAATTAACAAATGTTTTAAGAATTAAATTTCAAATGTAAACCACAACGAATAGTGATTTAGGATTAAATTATTTAAAAGCCAAAAAAAAAAAAACCAATATTTTCACATTAAAGATTTTTATCCTAATATGTGACGAATGTGATAAAATATCTACAATTTATCTAATAAATTCAATTGCCACATAACGGTGGCATTATAAAGTACATTAAAAAAATAATACTTTTCTAATAGCCCGTAACAGTTTAATTGAATTATTCAGTTTCAAAAAAAAAAAAAAAAAAACACCTTATTATGTGGTTTTTTTATATTTGAAACTATTAAATAGTTAAATGAATCAAATGATATTTTAAAAAAAAAACTTAGATTCTAACTAAGAAAAATACTTCCAAGGTTTATTAATACCTGCAACATTTCTCTTTTTAGGCTAGCTAATGCACTATTTCAATCGTTAATATCTTCAATTACCAATGTGTAAAAATTATAAAAATCTGATACTATGAAAGTATAAATTGAAACGAGTACAACAAGATCCCACATGACCATATTTTCCCTAACCTATAAATCACCAAAGCTAGTCAAAGTAAAATATGAGAAATTTTGTCAACAACTAACATTTAAATGACCACTTTTGAAAATAACTTCCTTTTAATTTTTGTTTTTATTTTTTAAAAACTACCATAAAAGCACAAAAACTTTGAGTAGCATTACCACATTTAATTATCCTGCAAGAATATCCGGTTGATGGAGCCTAATTTATAAAATTTCAATCAATTGCGATAGAAAATAAGAAAATTCGGTAGCTGAACACAATTATAGGTAAATTGTCTTTAATTCTACATAGTAGTTGATTTAATTTCTCAATTGAATCTCATAATTAGGGTTCTTGGTCAAAAAAATGGTAGTTGCTGACAAAATTTCTTAAAATATTTGAAAATTATAAAAAGTATTTTATGAGACGAATCCAACAAGATCCCACGTGACTATATTTTGCATAACGTATATATCGTATTATATGGTCAAACAAGAGTGATGAATAGTGCAAAAAGTCCATTGTTGCAATATTAATAGAACGGAGGAAGTATATTTTAGATAAAAAGTTTTATTTTAAAATTCTGACCACCACAACCCAGATAAAAAGAAACGGAGGAAGTAATGTTTTGAGATTTATGTATTATTAAACCGTGCTTTCATGAGTTTCATCTAGTAAACTCTTATTCCAAGATAAATTAAAAGTGTAATTTATTTTCTAGAATAAGGAAATCAGAGGATAAATATATACATGCATAATTAAGAAAAAAAAGCGCGTGGATGGTAGAAAGGTGGGGTGACTGGTGAGTACTGAGTAGGCTCAGGCAATTTACGCGGGACTAGAGTTATGTGGGTCCAAAAAAATCCCTTTTCTTTTCCTATATTTTTTTCTTAATTCTCTCATTACTGACAGCGATATTTCCCAGGTCATCTCCACACCATTTATATCTCACTTATTCACTCTAACTTCACCATCCTGTGACAACCCCTTAACTGACAGGCCCAAATAATCAACCAGGCTGTGACTAAAAGTACCCGTAACTTTAGCAGTTGCAGTGTGAGCCCATTTAGTAGGTGCTGACGTGGCAGACGTCGGTTGTTGTTTGATTGCGGCTGCATTTGTTATTGCTCGTGTGAAATGACGGAATTCGCCCTGGAAAATATTTGTTGTAAATTAAAAAAATTTCCGAGGAGTTGACGGGTATTTTGATATTTTTAATGAATGGGGGTGGTAAAAGCATTAAAGGCGGGAGAGGAAAGTAGTGGGTAAAAGTAGAAGCAAAGGAGATACAGAAGAATCTACGTATTTGGAAAACTTTTTTTAATTCTTTCTTTCTTTTTGACTCTTTGTATAACTTTTTGGTTGAAGCCAGAGCTAAGCAACCTTCGTGTGGTGCCCCATTTTTTTAATTTTTTTTTTTTTTTTAAGAAAAATGTTATACATAGGATTTAGGACGGCATATAATCATTAAATACACAGATTTATAAGGTTAAGAAATTATAAAATTATAAACTAATTAAACTGATTTACAAATTAATTATACACTAGAAAATCGTATAAAGTTAAGAAATTATAAAATTATAAACTAATTACACTGATTTACATGTGTTTTTGCCATAAATTCTTAATTTTACAATTTTCAATAGTGTATTTAATGCTTATATGTAGCTCTTGCATTATCCTTTTTTTTTTTTTAAAAAAAAACTTTCCCAATTTTTTGGCTTGTACCCCTTTTGTATTACGGAGTATAATGCAGAGTAAGTGTTAAATATCTCTAGACACAGTTTTAGGAGAAATAATAGTATGCATTAATATATCGTTGAAATGGGGTAGCTTTAATTACTTTTCCTGTCCCATAATAATTGACACATAATAATTGAAATCTGAAATCTGACAATGATTGTGGGAGATGAAATCTGAAAAAAAAAATTACTTTTCCTGTCCCATAATAATTGACACAGTCAAACTTTGCACACATGCTGATACAACATGAGAGATTGTTATATACATCCGGGTGCACGATGCACCCATGAGCATCTTGTTATCATTTTGATGATGTTTTTCATTTAATCATCAAATAAAGAGCAAAAACTAACTTTGGGTTAGTTGGGTGCATGGTACTCCCGGGTGTGTATAAAATATCTCAATACAATAGTTTAGCTTAATTTTATACTATAATTAAATATCAATAAAATGTATATATATATATATGTATATGTATATATATATATATGTATATATATATGTATATGTATATATATATATATATATGTATATATATATGTATATATGTATATATATATATATGTATATATGTATATATATATATATATATATATATATATATATATATATATATATGTATGTATAAAGGATATTATGAAATCTTATATTAATATCTATTTAACAGCTTATTTCATGATCACATTTGTATTTATTACGTTTATAAAAAACTAAAGTCAAAATTAAGTTATAAATAGTGGAAAAAAGTTCAACGTGTCAATTATTCTAGGACGGAGGGAGTAAAATATAATATGGGCGCAAGTGGGGGGAAAATATAAGAATATTGGCATGTGCCATGCACGGATATATATAGGAAAAATTAGAAACACTATCACAAAATGAGCTTTTAACATCACCAAAATAATACTCCCCCCATTTCATAATGTTAGTCTCATATAATATTTTAAGCGTTTCAAAAAGATCTGCCCATATTCAATATGTTCCATTTTTAACTTAATTTTTTTGAAATTAATTGGTTGTGGATTGATGGCATGGATCTAAGTAAGAAAATCTCTACATTGAATTATGCATTATGACTTATGCTTTCCCAAAAAAAAAAATCAAAAAACTTAAATAAGGTAAACTAATTATGAATTACTCTGTACTTTAATGATATATTCCAAATATTCTTCTTTTCCTATTTTATGTGATTGATTCCATATGGGACTAACATTATGAAACGGGTGCTGTAACACCCCCAAATCTCCCTCTACGGAAATAGTAGTTGTAGACATCTGATTGTGTCTCCCTAAAAACCAACCCTAGTGATGAGTAACTTTCACTTATTTGATTATCGAGTTAGGTGAAGAGTTGAAGAGTCTTGTGAAGTTCCCTTTAGCCTTAACCATTTCTAACCTTTCCAATCCTAAAATGTTCTTAGCCAAAAAAAATCATTTATTTGTCTTTAAATCCAAAATAATTCATTTCGTGTATTTAAAAATCATTCATTTCGTGTCCGAACCTTAAAAACGTTCAAACTAGATTATTTTGGTCCATAATCCTAATCCAATTATTGCTTAGTTGGATGGGGCTTGAAAAGAGCTTTCCAACGATATGTTATAAGTCCAAATCCGACTTAAAATGAATAAGTTATGGCCAAAATACTAAACCAAGTCCAAATCGGACCTAAGTCCATTCTACCTACGACCCAAAAATCATGTGGAGGGTTTATTAACCTGAACCTCATTCCTAAACCAATTAGGATTTATTACAAGTTTCTAGAATCCTCTAGAAGGTTGTTTTCGATCCTAAATCCATTAAGTATTATTATAAAGCTTCTAGAATCCTCTAAAAGGTTGTAATTTTTCTTGTTTTCGAAAAGATAAAGATTAAAAAGTTTGGAATTGAATAAAACTTCCCTTTTGATAATCCTAATCCCGGTTAAAACTGAATTTCGTGTCTCATAATTTTTATCCAAATCTTGGATAGTTGGATAGCCCTTGAAATTATCTTTCCAATAATATATCATAATCCCAATTCCGAGCTATAACGAAAAAGATATGACTAAAATACCAAACTCTATCCAAAACTGACACAGTTCCACTATTTTGATCACATTTTTTATTCTACAAAAGATATCAATATTATTCTAGTTGGTTTGGAAAGTAGACTTCAAGAGCTTTCCAAAGATATATTATTTATCTTATTCCGATTTCTGGATCAAAAGTTATGATAAAAACAAAAACCGCAAAAAACTGTTGTCTATCACGCCGCTATGGAACCTGTTTTACTACGAGTTGGATTCTGACTCTTTTCTGATCCTTTGACCCTCTTTTATCCTTATAAATAGAGGTCTTTTCACCCCATTTTAGATCATCAACAAGCTTGATCACCAACGATCATTATCTAATCCCCTCTCTAATACTTTCTCTCTCTCTCTCTTGATTCTTTTATAGCCTTAGCCTAAACACTTCCTAATACATCCTTGATACTTTTCCCTAATCAAACATCATACCTCCTTCACGAGCTTTGAATACTCCTAGCCAATCTCGAAGTTGCCTTCGACCTCGACATGAAAGATTGATAATTCTGAGGGTTTGGTCCCTAATCTATATTTCAATTCTTATTTGATTTATTTACTTTATTTGATTTGATCGTTCTTGAAGTTTATTAACGTGTGTATTGTTTTGATAGAAAGAGGTACAAGGCATCAAATTAAGTAATTCGATTACTTAATTATTCTTTTGACATAAAAATCATGCTTAGATTATTATTTTCTAGTATCATGTTAGGATGTTGATTTTAATTCCTAGTATCATGTTTAGGGTGTTAATTAATATTTCTAATATCATGTTGATAGTATCATGTTTAGGTTAAAGCTTTAATTATTATTATTAGTGACAAGCTAAGGTTTGTTATTAATCCGTTTAGTATCATGCCTAGGATCTTGCTATTAATCATGTTTTGAGGATTTTGATTATGATGATGATTGTTGTGTCAATTAATACATTGCTTGATTATTCATGATTTTTTGCTTGATCGCACCCCTTCTTGCAGGTTTAAAGGGAATTTGTACTTGAAATCACGCCTAATAAGATAATTAATAATTTGATTTAGGCTTAATATGATTTTAATTCAAGTGATCACCAATAATAGATTTGATTGTGCATTAATAATCAACCAACGTAGATTTAACAAGTTTAGGGCTAACTTGATGTATGTATGTTGATCGCAAAGCGCACATGAATATCATAAGAATTAAGTAGAGGTCGATTTAGGGTAGGTTCAATCTCTTTTAAGTTGGATTCGTATTATCATCCTTGAATATCCAGTCATGGTTCCGGACCACTATGGAGTTAGCGATCTCTGTGATCGTGAATTGGGTGTAACCTTCACACCCTTGAACGGTTTACAAGTTCCTAATACTTGTTGGTGACTCTTTTATCTCTAACTTCCTTCCCTTTGGACGCCACCATGCTTAAATGCATGATCACAGTGGGGCTCAAATTTGAATTTGAAAAATTCCCTACAGTTTTTTGGCGACTCTGCTTGGGAGGATTTCTAATTTTGATTCCTAAAATTTATTTTGGCAATTAATTTAGAATGAGTGGATGAGACTTGAAAGATTTTAGATATTCATGTGCGTAAGTTTGATTAACATTATGGCATAAGCATGAAAAGGTTTACATTGGAAAGACCATCCGTGATGCGTCAAAAACATAGGAATTTTACAAGTAGGAAAAGCTGGAAATATATTCACAATTAGAATAAAAAAGATACTACGAAAAATCGGAAAAAAAACTTCGAACATAGAAAACTGTCGCGAAGCTTTGGAACTGTCGCAGGACGGCAGAGTTTGTCGCCAAACGACAACTTTATCGCGGCGCGATAGAGTTGTCGCTGCGCGACAACCTCTATTTTCTCGCGCCAAGTTCTCGCGACATTGCGCCAGGAGTCTATCTTCTTGTTTTAACTGATTCTAGTACCGTCTCGATAATTTTACTTCCTGATTGAGTTTTTTTTACTTTTCAAAACCCATATGTGTTCTACATATGGTCTTAGCCCCTGGGAATTCACACTCCATCCACCCTAATGAACGCTCCGTGCAACAATGGGTGTGTTTGGGGTAAAAATACCCCAGCCACGTGGCCCTATGGCAGAGCGACATGTGGCACCCAGCCATTGGTCAGCAAGGCTCCAATCCCCTGCTGACACGTGTCCTAGAAACCCTAAATGGGGAACCAAGTCTCCCCACTATAAATAGTGGGAGAATCCTCATTAATGGGGGATTCATTCAATTTAGGATATTCAATACATTCATTAAGACTTACACCAAAACCGAGCAATATTAATTGCGGAATTCTCCCATTACGCGAGAAGCAATTTCACTATTTTACGCACTATCTTCCTCATGTACGTAACTGACTTGA